TAAAAGATAATTACAGATATAGTTCTGTACAATTGTTAAACTACAGCTAAAACTCAAGACTGCAGTTTCAGACTTCATGGACTGTATAACTTTAACTTTCTCACTAAGTTAAGGTTATTCCCCATGGCTTTTTGTCTGATTTTTTCATTATCAGCCACGCTACTCATACCTGACTTTGCAATACACCAATCTAAATTCTTAATTCACATGTCCAGACTGCTTTCTAAATGTGCCATTACCTAAACTGCTGCCTGGCTAAATCTGAGGCCAGGATGTCAGCACTAAATCTAAAGAGTAGAAGAGCTAAGTGTTGCCATGTAGATTATCACAACACAACACAAAGTGCTGGGACCCAAAACATTGTAAGTGGAATTTATCACCTTGAATATCATTACTAAGCTCCCTACATAACAATTTTAAGTCTGGACTTTGCTTGACAGGCTGAAAAATATGTGCGCACACGCATCATTGTCAAGTATGGTTTTATCTCGAGCCTACTTTTAGGAAAGAAAAAGAACAATTCCATTGTAGACGACAAGCATTATACAGACATCACTTTTTATTATCTAAAACCTGTAGTTTTGTAAATCCAGAGAAAAATTATTTTGTCCACATATGATCAAATTAAAGAGAAAAATTCAACTGATAGCAAAATTTTGATATCCAATCAATTCTGGAAAATTTGATTCGCATGTCCCATAGACAGAAATTACTCTCAACTATAATATAATAATGCATTATATAATATGATGCCTTACTACTATTCAACTGTAGCCATTATGGCACTCATCTAGGTATATATAAGAACAGCGATTTTTACAACACTGTATACAGACTTCATTTGCATTAGCTTCATGAGTTTTCTGCAGCATAGCCTCTTGAGGTAGCTGCAAACAGAACACCATTTAAAAAAAGGAAAAAAATAGTAGAAAGAGAATTGAATTTTTTGTTGCAATAATTCAATATTGATAGCAGATTAGGGCTGTAAAAGCAGAACAACATCATTTAAGAAGCACAGGTTCTGAAAAAAAACCTACAAATCTGTAGGGCTCCCATTCAACAGCTTCTGTTTCATATTATTGTGTACTGCTGATCAACAAGGATAATTTTTCACATTAAACATGAGCCATTTCCCTTGAAACTAGCCCTTATCCATGGTAGTTGATGATTACGTGCTGCCATCTAGCAAACGTTTCAAGAAAAGTTTAACTTTGGAAGCTATTCTGTGGCAAGACACCTGAAATTTCTTAGAAAGCCTTTTAAAATAGGAAACATATTCAAGACAGCAATAGGTTTTTAAAATTATACCTTCAACCCGCCTGCTTGCAAGAGCAACCACAATTGGAGAATACAATTAGGATTAATACAGACAAACCCTTCAAAAGTAAGACCATATGCAGTGAATATGGTACTGCAAAACTGAAATTTTCATTCTACAACTTATGCTTTCCTTTGTTTCAGTGAACACAATGAGTAGAAAATGGTTAAGAAATACTGCATGGTCTTCTTTCCTAAAGACTCTAGTCTTCACTGTTTCACTTAGTTCCAATTTTCTGGGTTTTATTTCCTTTGCACCCACTCCATTCTTCCTTGGTAATTAAAAAGCAGCAATCCCATACAGTAATATGATGGCCGCATTACAAAAAAATGGTGTTTCTTAACCCTTTTCAATCTCAATTTTTCAGTCACGCAGTCACACTGAAACTGTACCATGCTATCTACTAGCAGGAAGATGGCTTCTTAAAATTACTGGACCTTGTTGACTGTGGGTTCTGCTAAAACCTTATTTTTTCTGTTATTATCAAGGTATATATTCAGTTAGAGAAAACTTAAGAAAACATTTATACACTTTTGGCACGAGTCCTACTTGTTAACATGGAAATAGTGTGACATTTTAAAGCACTTACACTGCTATATATTTCTTTTCGTTAAAAGAAATATTAACAAAACATCTAAACTAATTATTTGTGAATATTATTGTTTTCTTATTATTTTCTGTCTTATTTCACCTCATCACAATAATTGCAATTTCCTCTTTTCACCTTGGGTCCTAACATTGTACAGTTACCTTAGATCTCTCATTCATCCAGTCACCTAAACAGTAGAACATCGTCATTCTTTGCTTCCCATAGATCAGAACAGTGGGGAGACTATTGCTCCATGGAGGTATTACTCTTTAAGCAAATTATAATTTTAAAAAACCCCAAAGCCCAATAACTTTTGGGGTCTCCATTCCTCTCCAATTTCTCTGAAATTAGCCAATGGCTTCCAAAGCCCTCAGAAAGGACACAGGCATCACAGCCCACTATTTGTCTCATTTCCCCACAGCATTTTCTTAACCACCATCATCACTAAATAATCACACAATTAAATGTCCTCTAGTTTCAAAGCACATATACCTCTCATGTGGTATCAAGCTTTTTGATGCTTACAACTATTTGTTAGTTATTAATATCAAACAAAAACCAGTAAGTAATTAAAATAAAGGCCAATTAACATTAGGATAAGTGCCAGTTTATATCACTGAGAAACATTGGTCTTAAGAATATCTGTTCTTCCTGTAAACAAAAGGCAAATTGGTAAAAAAAAATTTTATATCTATCATTCTAAAATTCCTTAAGAATCCACCATTTACCATGACATGGTACTTTTTGTTAATTAAAAGCAGAAGTCTTTCTTTGCTAGAATTAACCCATGAAATATATATTACAGAATTTCATAGAACGGTTTGGGTTGAAAGGGACCTAGATGACTATCTGGTTCCAACCTTGCTGCAATGGGAAGAGTCATCTCCCACTTGACCAAGTTGCTTGGAATGCATCCAACCTGGCCTTAAGCAACTCCAGAGACATGGCATCCACATATGCAGGGCCCAACACAGGCTAGTGCCTCACCACCCTCACAGCATAGAATTCCTTCCTAATATCTAATCTAAATCTACTCTCTCTCAATTTAAAGCCATTCCCTCTTAGACTTTTCTCAAAGGCATGTAGAGATAGTATTTCTCAAGCTTCCTTGTAGACTCCCTTCAGATACTGGACTGCTGTAAACCCACCAAACAAGTTTATCAGCTATATAAGGGTGACAAGGTTGTCTCTGCCACAAATACCATCATACCTAGTGTATATGACCTGATGGGAAAAAACCCATATGATCCCTAGTATTGTCTGGTTGTGAAAAGCTGAAGGTGCACAGACTAGAGCTCCTCCACATTTACTTTCCCTTAGCAAATTGAAGAATATACAAGAAATATTATTTAACAGACTGCATTTTCAAAAGTTATTCCTTTAAAGATGGTCCGAATAAAATTCCTCCATTTCATCTCTTATTAGATGAAGATCTGATTTTTACTCATAAAATGTATTCTTACAAGGGCATCTCTGTAACAAATACACAGAGGGTATCTGTTATAGAGATATGAAATATCAAAGTATTGATAAATAATTTCTTTTACATTTCAAAGTATTGATAAATAATTTCTTTTACATTTTATAACTAAACACCACAGTAATTAATACAGCTCTGACACGTACAAAAGGACATATGCATAGAACTGGAAAACACTTTTTAATCTACTCACGCTAGGTCTCATCCTACTCTAAGCCAGTCTGACCTTCTGACCCTGTTGAAGAAATGGCATCCAGGATTTCAGCCTCTGTCCTACCTTACATCTCAGATGGACCTATTACTACAGATTGTATACTATTTGTAGAAACTTGTAAAAGCTATCTCCTCCAGAACTTTTAGTTTTCTCTTAGGAGAAAGTTATGTTTGAATTGTAAGATGAAATGGCATTCCCAGTGTCCTTACTGCAATTTTCCAATATTTTGGGCAGAAACTTACTGTACTCTTTTTCTGAAGAGCTCCTCAGTCAAAGAATGCTTCTGTCTTCATCCCTTGTTATACTAGCATTTTTCATGGTGAAAGACTACGAAACATCACCCAAATGTGAATCAATCACAAGAAGTCCACATTACCACAATGAATGAAATACCCTCTTCTTTCCTTGGTGATTTACAAGTATGTTTCAACGTCAAATCACTCATTTCTGACCATACACTTGTTAACAGCAAGAACCAAAAACAACTGAGTAAGTATCTTGACTTTATCTATCAAACACTCTTCCTGATGAAGAGGCTACACTTGACTAAATTCCTGAAATCAACTTGCAAATTAACGCCTCTTCAAGTTACCACATGCTTAAAACAAAGTAATTTTTGTTCGGCTGATAACTGTAATCAAGCTGTTAGTTATGTAGGAATTCTGGAATCGCACAGTGCTAAGTGCAGGTGCTGGTATCACACATACTCAGCAGAACTGCCAGCTATTCTAAACTGTTGGTGCAACACCTAAAATAAAGTTACTTTAGTTGTGTCAGGCTTACTGTGCACAATGATTTGCAAATATGTAACCAAAACCCATCATAAGTGAAACACACATAACCGAATTCACACTATAAAGAAGAAAAAAAAATATACGGAAATAAATATGAAACACCAAACTTCTTACAGAACAGGAAGAAATTAGCTGTAACCTATCAATTTTTCACGTCTAGTCCCTCCATGTCCAAGAAAACAAGGCAATATCTTTGCCATCCGGGAGACAGGCAGCTGGGGCAGGTGGGTCGGCTGGGTCACCTGCAAAACTTCAATGTGAACACGAACACAGCAAGACAGGCGTGACGAAACGACACCCGGGGCCAGGACGTCGCACCGAGGCACACGTGTCGAGATGGCGCGGCACACCCCTACAAGCAGCTTGGCTTCACCCGACGGAGGTTTGTTTTCATCGCAGCTGAGCTGCAGCACCACGGGACGCGTTCTCCCACGCCGCGGGACGGCGGCAGCCACCTGCGGTCTTCCCTACGGCTCCAGGCCGCCACGCCGGCTGCGGGCAGGGCCGGCCCCGAGCCGGCTCGCTCGCAGGGCGATCCGCCGCCGCGGCCCTCCCCGGCCAAGCCCTCCCCGGCCAAGCTCCCCCCGGCGCCCCGCGCGTCTCACCTCGTTGTTGAGGTTCAGCACGGGGGCCATGGCGCCGCAGAGCACCCAGGCCGCTCCGGGCGCTCCCCACGCCGCCGCACGAACCGAAACCGCGCGCAGGCGCCGAGAGACCGCTGCCGCCCCGCCCCGGAGCCCTGGTTCGAAACGGGGCTAAAGAGCCTGGATTGGGGCTCCTGCCTGCCGCTCGCTCGCCGTGGGCGGCGCGGGCAGGGGGCGGATCCGAGCCCGGCCGCCCCGGGGCCTTGGGGTCATGCCTGGGAAGGCCGCCGCCCACCAGGCGAAACCTGAAGTGTCGCCGAGCGGCGATGTGCCTGGCATCGCCGGCCGGCTTGCTTGCTTAATCCGGGGAATGTACGTTTGCAAATCCTTAAACTGAAGTGGCCTCCGCCCCCACGACTAGTTTATGATATAAATATTTTTGGGGTTTTTGCCTTTCCCGTCGCTTTGCTGCTGGGTGGAACGCGTTGCAGGAGCAGGCTGTGGCCGCTGCCGTAGCTCTGGGCTTTGCACCATGACAAAACCGTCTCCGTTTCCAAAGTGCTGTACAATTTTCAGATGGACTTTCCCCTTTGTGCAGAAGGAAGATTCAGGGCTGTGTAGAAGCTATACGTCCTGAAGCTTTGATTGTGTGAAGTTTTTATATACATAATTAATTTTAAATAGCTAGGTGAAGTGTGGCTGAGCATGTGTTTTGGACTGAGTAATGTCTCAGTCTGAAAATTTTGGCAAAGTTTCATCAGAACTTTCCTCATCATTGCCAGTTTCTTGTGCTAGAAGAATTTGTTGATTTAAATTTCTGTATTCTTTTATTGAAACTTTTGCAATACCCGTGCTTGAATGAAAGCAAAGCTTAATATGTTTAGAGAATGAATCACGGTGTTTGGTTTTTTTGTGGATTTTTTTTTGGTTTTGGGGTTTTTTTGGTTTTTTTTGTTGTTTTTTTTTTGTTTTTTGTTTTTTTGGTTTTTTTTTACATTCCTGTTTGTCTGCTGCAGTATTCAAAAGAACGGAGGTCATATTTGAAAATATTTGGGGAAATTGTTTTAAACAAACCAAGTTTTCTTTATATAAGAAACAAAAACAAAAAAACCCAAAACCAAACAAAAGAAAAAAACCAAAAGAAAACAAACTACCCCCCCCCCCCAAAAAAAAAAAAATTGAGGAAATTTACCAGCAATTAGCTGGCCCCTGGATGGCACTGTTGTGCCTGGAATTCTCCTTTGAAGTCTGACTATTTAAACAAATACAACTGTTGTCAGCTGTCTCTGTAATACATATTATCTGCAGGATCTAGCATTTGGAACTTGTTATATTTTAATGTTTGATTTCTAACGGGTGCTTAGGCATCTCCTGTGCGTGAACTGCAACAAAATCGCCCTTGACTGTGCTTTTTATCAGGACTTACATGCTAGTGAGGCTAGCCCAAACTAGTCTTTTCAAAGTGTTACTTTAAGTTCCATTTAGGATGTTTCTGAAGGTGATGCTGGATGTTCAGTAGCAGTCTGGGTGTCGTCTCGATCTGTAAAGAGCCAGCTGAAAATACTTTGAGCTCATCCCTTCATCTTGTAGTGAGGCGATTAGTTCCAACAGGAGCTGAATTTATTTTAAAGCGTATGTTTGAGGAGAGTGCTTTGAGTCTCACTCCAGATGAAGGGTGTTTACCACAGCTGGTGCCTCATAAAAGTTCTGACTTGGACAGTTATGTCCAGTTTAGAAAAAGTCAGCCAACTGTCAGAGACTGAACTTTTCTTTGTAGTACCACAAATGTCAGGCAGCTACAGTGATCTACATGAGAAGGAGCTGAATTTGACTGTATCTGAGTATAGATTAGCATTGGATGTGATACACACAATGCCATCAATATATGTTTAAGATTTACTGGATACAATCTCATATCTAGGTTGTATTTGTTTGCAATGGGTGTAAAATTGGATGCAAAAAAAATCCAGAAGGAAAGATTGTCCAAGGAAAATAAAGAGCTCCTTCCTTTTGTCTTGGTATTTCATGCAAAACTAATTCCTACATAGGCCAATCTTAGGTTCCATTGTGCATCTTAGCAAAGAGAAAGACAAAAGCAGGAGCAGGGAGCCAGCTGTGCTTCTGTGAATCCAGCCAGTGCCAGCCTGGCCTCACATCAATTAGAGTTGTTCCATCTGTGTAGCCTATTGGGTCATAACTTCAATTTTCCTTTCCAATTCCTCTGAACACTGAAATAACTTGCTTTGAAAGTTTCTTATAGGCCCTGATGACACATTTCTGGCCCTTCTTCATCCAACAATTTTGTTTTCTTCTCAGTTAGTCATTGCTGAAAGTAAGTGCTTCATTTCTTTCTCCCTTTTTAAACCTCAGTGGTCATCCAGAGTTAAGAATCTTTGTGCCTCATAGCTTCCTTGTCAGCCCTTTGTCATACTATTTTTTGACTTAAATGCATTCTAAGTCAAGATTTTCTTGTCAGCTTGTCACAGTCAGGATGCTTTGAGGCATTGCCCCATATAACACTTTTGTACTTTGATGCTTTGTTCTGACATTTCTTCTTGTGGTGTCAGTATTTCACTCCAGTATTTTGGCACATATTCTCAGTGTTGGAATGCAACTTTCTGAACTATATTTTCTCCTTTGTGAACAACTGTTCTGTGTTTGCACATTGCAGGGCAGCATATATGTGTGGGCTACAAAGATGGTGAAGGGCCTAGAGGGGGAGGCCAAATGGGGAGCAGCTGAGGTCACTTGGTCTGTTCAGGCTGGAGAAGAGGAGACTGAGGGGAGACCTCACTGCAGCTACAGCTTCCTCATGAGGGGAAGATGAGAGGCAGGCTCTGATCTCTGCTCTGTGTTAACACTAACAGGACCCAAGGGAATGGCCTGAAGCTATATCAGGGGAGGTTTAGGTTGGACATTAGAAAAGGGTTTTTTCACCTAGAGAATTTTTCCCCAGGAAAGTGGTCACAGCACCAAGCCTGACAAAGATCAAGAAGTGTTTGGACAATGCTCTAAAATATATGGAGTGATTCTTAGGATGTCCTGTGCAAGGCCAGGAGTTGGACTTGAGTGATCTTGATGGGTCCCTTCCAACTCAGGTATTCTACAATTCTATGTTTCTATTTGTAGGATGTAAGATGTTGCAGAACAATACAGGGGAGTTGAAATGGAAAACTATTTAAAGAAAGAGGGGGTTATAGCTGGGTCCTCTCCCTTTAGCTTGGCATTCTCCAGGTTCATGTGATGTGGTAGCAGCTGTGCAGACCATCTTGTAGCTATAACTGGCCTTGATCCCAGAAGCCATGAATAAAAGTTATATTTTTGGAATACTTACTGAAATACGTGATTATTGCAGATGCTTGCATTTGTATGCTCAGTACAGATGTAATGAAATATGTACGAAGTGTGTTTTGTGTTGAAAAATGACAATAAGCAAATTTTAGAAATTTCAATTAATCTTTTATGCTTTGTAAATTGAATTTGAACTTTAAGAAGTTTTTTAGTAAGGAGTGCCCGTCATGTTAGCTAGGCACTGAGGACAACAAAACCAGAAAGTTTTCTGCAATTTGATGTTTCCTATAGTGTGTGCTTTGACTTTTACCAGAGGAGTTTCTTTTTACTGATACCAAGACATCTGTTCTGGCCTTGCTCCCTTTCTTTTTGTCATGACAATTTAAAGATGATACTCATTAAAATGAATTGTCTCCTCTAATTTCAACCAGTCCTTTTCCACCTATAAGGAACAAATATTAGTAGATATAAGTTTAAAAATAGTGGTTACTAACAGGCAAAACAGCAACAGGCAAAAAACCCCCAAACCAACCAGCGAATAGTCACTTAACACAAAATTTCTATATCTCAGGAGCCCCATGAGTTTGGCAGTACCAAAATGCCCCCTCCCAAGATGGCAGTCCCTGCTGCTGACCATGTGTAAGGAGACAAAGGGAAAATGATGCCAACCTCTTCCCCAAGATAGGAATTCTTATTTACATAGGAAAACTATTGAAAAAATATACAGTATTTTTTTTCTTCCTGTATAAATAGGTTATATGAAATGAGTTGTTTTGACTTCTATGACAGAATAGGAAAATTTGTTCTTAATATTCCAGATATTTTCGTTATTGCTTTCTTCACTTTTGAGTCTTCACACACACAGAAGACAGAAATCTTCATATGTTACTGTCCTTATGCACACATTAGCACACACACTTTGGTGAAACACACTAAACTTGCTTCATAAATTACTATATCCCTCTGTTACTAAGAAAGCACAATTGGCTTTGAAATTCCTTCCTGCTTAGAATCCATTCAACGTTCAGCAATACTTTGATAATTTAAATTTTTAAAAAATTAAAATCTGAATTTAATGATTATTTTAATGTGTATGAAAACAGCTTAGAAAGAAGGTTTTGTGGTGAACTTCCACCTGGGATATTAAGTTTAAATGTGTAAAGCACATTATTTTCTTCTACAATCCATAATAAATGCATTATTTAATAATTTTTATATCCTACATTTTTCTTTTTTAAGAAGCAGTTCCAGTAGTTCAGCTGGCTCTTTCAGTTGCTTGTTTTGTGAGGCCAAAATTTTCTCTTATTACATACAGGTAAATTGTTAAGTAAAAAATGGGATCCTAATGTCTGCTAGATTCCTTAAGTAGTATTATAAATTAAAAAAAAATTCCTGTGAAAGCGTCGTGGGTCACTCAAAACATTCCATATCCAGAAATTTGTTACAGCCTGTGGAGTAGAAAATAACAACTCTATGTTTCAGTCCAGAGATGACTGCTGAATTTATGATAGCAGAGAAGACTGCTCAAAGGAAAGATTCAGGTGGAGAAAAAGACAAAAGACCAAACTCTCTCTGATCCCTTGCAGGAGGAACCCTTGAAAATAAACTGCAGAAGCACTCTGAAGAGATCCCATGAGCAAAAAATGGATGGTGGGTCTTTGTCATGATGCTCAAAGAGGTGTACTGGGAAAGATGAGAATGAAATGGGTCTGAGTCATTCACAGAGAAAGTTTGTTCGAATTCACAGTAAAAGATGCACAGGAAGTGCACATCTGTGGTGTCTACAGTTAGAGCTGTAAGATGAGTCCTTGTACCAAGTCCCTGAAAAAGAATTTGGAAGTGGGTGATGGAGCTTAGAAATGGATGGGGAAGGGATC